TTTTGAATTAATTGCTAGTAAAATAACAAACGACGAACTCGTGGAAATTCGCTGCGCTAATTAATTTTCTCAACTGCGCTAAAAACTTTGTTTAAATGCAATTTGTTGTATTTGTTAGCAGTGACTCCTACACAACTTTAATAAGTTGTCTTTTTTTTTTTTTTTTTTTTTTTTTTTTTTTTTTGTATGGGTGAGGCAACCTTTAGGTAATATGTATACAAGTATTTAGCATGCAATGCGAATGCGTAAGCAAAATTGATCTAAATTGAGGGTAAACAATCTCTAAGGGAGCTTCTGATGCTGCCCTTTTAATCTCTTTACTATTCATTACAATTAATATTTATATAAGCTTATTACATTGCGCATCTAATACATGAATACATGAACTTGAACTTGCATTTCACAATACGAGCCAGATGGCTCCCGGATTTCCAAGAACTACTACTGTTTGTGCCGCATCCTCTTTAGTGCAAACAAGGAAGCTCTTGATTTGAGCCGACTATTGAATTGAGCTATCGGTCGTAACAAACAGTCAAATCGCACATGTGCTTTGCCATCCGATGGCCAATGTGGCGTGTACTTAATAAAATTAGATGCTATTTAATAGGGCCCCAGAGACCAAAAAAAAGAAGAAAATCAATTTCCTGTAAGTCTGTCTAGTGTTCGAGTGTTTATGACTGAAACTTCAAAAGGAACACGCCCCAATAGTTGGGCAACCAATGTTATTATTATTCCACTAAGTAAACAAAATATGTATATACATGCTTTTATATATGCTATTATAGTATGTACATGCTATTATAGAATGTATATATATATAAATGTATATATACATAGCACGTTAGCCAGCTGAGCCGAGTGTGAAGCGCACTCAATCGTGATTTTTAGGTGTGAGTCCCATCAGTCAACTGGCAGAGCGTCCAGGGACTAGAGGGCCAAGGAATGCGCCGCTGCGTTAGTCAGTCTGATGCCAGGCAGCTTATGAATTATTTATGGCTCGGATTATTTGGTTTTTGCGCTTATTAAAATGCGAAAATCGTAAGAAATATACGCACTGACAGGCATAAATTTCAGCTGGGAATCAATTGAAAACTTCAATTGAGACACGCAGCAAAAGTTTCATTCGCATTAACAGCTTAAACCGAAAAAAAAGTCAAGAATGTAAAATGAAATGAATTTTTGCCAGTGAGCATTTACTGAAATGCTTTTATTGACTGCTTATCTAAATATATAGCAAATAAATCGTAAACACTTCACATAATATGAGCAGGCTTTATATGAGAAGCGCCTAGAGAGGCCTCGTGAAAATCTGTAATGGTCAAGCAGAAGAAATTGGCCTTCAGAGCTATCAGTATTTGATTGTGAAAAACGTAAAATAAGAAGAGTAAATGGAATTTTAATTCAACATAAAATCTCAAACAGGCTAACTTTAAATTAAATCTGTCAATTAAAATGCCACAATTATGATTTTATACAGCTCTTGATGTCAAACAATTAGCGCAAAACAATTTTGTAGCAACGCCTTTTCTGGCAGTTGCTGGCATGTTAATGACCTTTCAGCAGGCGAGTGTTAATGTATACAGCCACGCCCAGCAGCCTAACACGCCCATCAAATCAGTTGACGGCCAAAAGTTGGGGAGCCATAGCTAATTATGAATAGCGCCACGGGGCGTATGAGCAATGTTCATTTTTCGCTTATGCAATGAGTTTCGGTTGGGTTCAACAGATCCCACTGGGTGGAGAAGTTTATTGAACTGTCACGTGACCACATATAAAAACAGCTACGAGAAAAGGTTCATTTATTTGCAGTTATTTGTTTTTTACGACTTGCCTCAACCACAACAACAACAACGACGACGAGTACCGTCAATTGGCATTAACCTTCAAAACTATTTACACAAATGGCAGGCCGAATATATCAATAAGTCGATTCGAACAATCGCAGTGAACAATCGCCCGTTAAATGAACCAACTTATTTGCTTAACTGATTGTCGAACATTTCGTGCTATAAATAGATCGAAGCACTCAGCTAGGCATAAGTCTTGCATATTTATAGGCAACTCAAATATCAAATGTGCTCACAGCAAACCAAGCCAAACCAAGCCCAAACAATATCGAATTTCCATCTTTGTTATTTGTGTGTAGCTCTTTAATTTATACATGAAATTGATATGACAAAGCACTTGCCATGCATTCTGCATAACGGCAGCTTAACAATAACTAACGAGAAAAGTGTTACGCATACACATGCATATGTGAATGTACTCCATATCGTCATCATGAAAATGAACCCCAAATTGGTTTTTAATCTACAAACATTTTAAGCGAGATATAGTCTTGCAAAAATTTCCTTAATATAATATAGATATCCTTCTTATAAAATGTATGATTAATAGACATATTATACATATTATGTAAACATTGCTATACTGTTTTCGCTCAAGGGTGTTATATAATAACATATGTTCATCATTTCAAATATTCTATTCGACCATATGACTACATTTGATTGAATACTGTATACAAAAATTTGTATGATAGACACACATATATGCAACAATATTTGTATTTATATAGATTGTATGAGGACTTGCTTGGCCTACAATGAAAATGAAAAACGAAAACACATTTTACTGTTTCGACTCACGTACCAAAAAAAAAATATTATAACAAAGAAAAATAAAAAAAAAAGACAGTAAAATATAAAAAGAAACTAATAATAATAGCATGGCTAGCAATGTCCGACTAAGTGATACTCTGAACCCAATGACCTTGAATCTCTTACTGTACTCGTACTAAATAGGCGCAGCTTGAAGTTCATGAAAATGTAAAAAGCTGAAAACGATATGGAGCAAAACCTAAACAAACTCGCTATCTCTATAAACATGCAGAACAGACTATGATCGATTCGACCTTGGTCAAGCATATAACTTATATATAAATATATCTTAGTCATCTGTTTGTTACAAACAGTTTAGGAAACCTACAGCAGCACAGCACTATAATTGGTTGACGGGAGTAGAAAGTGGAGGAGCGCAGCTCCCACTTGTAGGAATTTGCCAACCAACTATATTACTATATATATATATATATGTCTGTATACATACATATACATATATACAAAATAAGTACATATCTATGTACAAGTATACGATGACACTTGGGTACTTAAAGGACAGGCACTTGTGCTTGTTGTTGTCCTTTCTGGACAAAAACGAAAATAAGTGGCGAAAACTTTACCAGCTCCAAAAGTTTTCTACTTTCAACTTAGCCGACAAGATTCTTATTGAAGAAGTTGGTCAAAAGATGGCAATATGATTAAAAGCGTTATGCGAATAGGAGTGAGAACTAATGGCGACTAAATTTACCCTGCAAATTGTGTTAATAATTGTGCTAATAAAATGAAAAGTGAGATGAGACATTTTGATGCCCTAATACTAAAAAAATCATGATATAATTGAAAACAAAATTTCAAACTAGATAAATATATATTTGAATTAATATTCCAAAAATGTAATCAAAGAAAAAATATATTGATATATATATATATTTAATTAATATTTGTATTAAAATTTAATATATATAAATATCTAAAATAATCTGAGAAGATATTTTTTATTTAGTCTATATATATTTTTTTTCACGATATCAAATTAGAAAATATCGTCCTTGCTGTTTCACAAGTTAATTATTTATGGGCCTCTTGTAGCAACTTTTGCTGGCTAAAGAATAAATGCTGAGTGCAAACAGGTAATTAGGTATTTAACTGGCAGACCTGTCTCAAAGTCGGCAAGCAACAGCACAGGAATGGCAAAGCGCACAAAACGGCTGTAAAATAATGAATGTGACACAGGGCGTGTGCGTAGTGCGGCACTATATATAGTATACAGTATATAGTATTGTCTACGGTAGACAGTTTAGCGTAGCGTATAGCCCGTACTACTCTATACGCTATATGCCGTACATAGTATACCAGCATAGCGCATGCAGTGTACAGCATTCTGCGACCCACAAAATTGACCTGATTCAGAGCCGGCCAAGGACATGCCGGCTGCCGGTTGCCGGCAGTCAGCAGTTGGCAGTCGGTAGCCGGTAGCCCCTACGTTGGGGTGCGCAACTTTGGACCTTATAATATGCGCCTGAACTGAATTGCAATTGCAATGATAATACGAGTGTGAGCGTGTGTGTGTGTGGGTGGGTGTGGGCGTATGTCCCGATTAGATGTGTAGTTGGCTCTGTCTGGGTTTGCGTTTTAAATTATCTCAATAGCGCTATAAATAGAGCTAGGACCTATGAAGCGGATGTCCAGACCCGGACGCCGGCGCTAAGGCAATTTGTATTCATTATTTGTTAAGAGCCAAGTCGCTATGCAACTGATTCCCGATACGAGCGCTGATGGTGGTTAGCTTAGAGCCCATCAGATGCTGCGGCGAATGGAATGCTGTCAAGCAGGAGGCGCAGTGAATGCACTTGTGTCGAGGATGGCCAATACTTGAGATAATCAAGCGAAAATATCTATAATGGCGATTGGGTCATTGTGCGTGTGCATTAGTGTGTGTGAGCGTATATGGAAAATTGTTGAAATATTTGTTCTCACTGTTAAGTTTAATGTTAGATTTACTTGAGCTATATTTTGTGGTTACGCAAAATGCTCAGAGCGTTTTGCCTCATTTAAGATAACTGTGAATTTTGGGTCTCTAATTGGACTTCTAATTGGATTAGGCGCAAATTGCATAGCAACCAAGAAGTAAACCCTAATGAAAGTGGTCTGACATTTACCTTACCAGAGAGGCAGTGTTAACACACCGTCTGCATAATAATTACATAAGTATTAATTACATAAACAATGCCATCGATATCACTTTAACGAAAAACTTGCCTAGTGGACTAAAATGCCATTAACGTAAACTATTAATATTCCTTTTATAGTAGCACTGACTGATGACTGAGATGACTTATTAATAATCCTTATTTTCGTCGACTCATTGCTTATTTGCAGGCAGAGACACCCTTACTACCATTGAAGGAGGACGAGTCGACGCCATTCAAGACCCCGAGTAACACACCTATATACGTAACTAAACCGCACATATCAGCAACGCCATCCCGTGGCCAGTATAACGCAGTTGTCAGTGAATCACCGATTACGAATGCGTCCAAGAGGTGTCTAAGTGTCAACTCGCTGACCAACTATTCCTCGCCCAATCCTTCCCCCACGCCGTCACCTTCACTCACATCCACGCTTACCTTTGAAAATTGTGAGCCCAACAACAATAACAACAACAACAACAACAACAACGAGGAAGTATTCTACACGCCGCTCGGCGGACAAACACCAAATCATAAACCCACACAGGAATTCGAGCTCTATCCGCAAGACACGTTCGAACGTCTCGAGGGCAAGCAACCGAAGCCAAATACCAAAATGCAAAGCAAAGTGGATGCAGTGGGCCAAATCACCGGCCATTGGGGCAAGTGGCAACTGCGCACAGTACTCTTAATCTTTCTGTGCAAAATACCCTCCTCCTGGTTTATGGCTTGCATCATTTTCACGGCGCCTGCACCCCGCCACGGTGAATTCTTTTGCAAGCCGCCGCCTGAGATCGGCGTCCAGAATCAGACGGAATGGATCAAGGTGTCGCATCCCCAAAAGGAGGAGAAGGAAGATCAGGAGTTTACCATTGATTTTTGTAATGTGTACGAGGATGCCCAGCAGCACGCTCATCACTACTATAACTATGAGGACCGCTCCAAGGAGCCAGTCATTTGGGAGAAGCCACTACATCGCAACGCCTCTGTAATACCCTGCACGGAGTTTCAGCATAAAAGCACTTACCACTCGGTTGTCACTCAATACGATCTCGTCTGCTCCCGCGATATACTCGTGTCCGTAACGCAGTTCTTCCACTTGTTCGGGGTGCTCACGGGCGGAATATTGGCCAATCATCTTTTAAAATAGTAGGTCCAATTGGAAGCTACCGAATTGATATTCCAACTAATATCTTCCTCTTTCTCTTTCCCTCCCACTATGTCTGTTGCTCGCGAACTGCAGCTTTAGTCCACGCAGTGTAATGCTCTTCGGCATGATAACACAAATATTTTGTGGAAATCTAACTGGTCATGTGTCTTCCTATGAGCTTCATGTCTTTTTCCGATGTCTCTCCGCTGTCTGCTGCGCTCAGATGTACACCGCCGGCGGCATGATAAGTAAGTTCATATCCAAAAGCACTAGTACAACTATCGATAACACGCTACACAATGTGTGTTTTCCAGTGGCGGACATTACTGGTGGAAAATATCGCACGTATGTGTCCACGCTGTTTGAACAATTCTGGTCTATTGGAGTTATGATGTTACCAGGATTGGCCAGCTTTTGGTCTAGCTGGTCGCATCTTTATATGGCCATTTCTTGGCCCACAGTAATACTCATTTACCTTTGGCAGTAAGTATTAATAAACCACAAAGCGTACATTTATATCAAACCTTTATTTCAAACTCTAATTCGAATTCGAACTCGAATTTTTGCCTTGCTGCAGAATAAATTGTATATTATGCCTAGGTGGCAACGCTGTAAGAATATTCTAGAGATGAAAACAATTGTATTCATACAAACCAAAAGAAAAGAAACTTACTAATTTTATTGAATCAATTTGCAGATGGATCCCCGATTCCCCACGCTGGATGATAGAACGCGGTCGCGTGCAGGATGCCAAAAAGATTTTGCTTGAGTGTGCCGAGATGAATGGCACACGCCTTAGTTTGCCCCACGACATTGACCAGCAGCTAGAGCTACAGGCACAAACGGCCATGGATGCGCCGCCTCCAGCGGGCTGGTGGTCCATTTGGAAAGGTGAGAAGGCAGTGCGGCACATGATCTGCGTACATCTGGCATGGTCGCTATACATCAGCGTCTATTACGGCTGCCTGCTGAACATACGGTCGTTCAGTCGAGACCATCTGTTCATCAACACCTTTGTGGCAGGCTTTAGTGAGATGATTGGCACATTCATTGGACTCTATTTGATCATGAACACCACACGCAAATGGCTTTGGGCCGGAATCTTCAATATTGTGGCCGGTTGTTTTGCGTGGTGCTGTTGGCTAGTGCCCAAGCCAGGCGTCGTTTCTCTAGATGCCAACGTTGCTATGCTCATGTGCACGGCTATGGTGTCCAAGATGGCCATATCTACTTCGCTTTCCATTCTGACCACCAGCACCGTGGAGCTAGTGAGCCCAGAGAAACGCAAGATAGCTGCCTTTTCGACAATATGCTGGGCCCGATTTTGGCTACTAGGTGCTCCGTTCATTGGCTCCACCGTTGTGATTGGCCAGCTAATACCACAGACTGCATACACGGCACTAGCGGTCATTGGTGGCGTCTGCATGTCTTTGATCAGTGGTCCACGCACGCATCCCATCTCGCGTCCTGCATCACCAGTGTCCCAGGGTGCCCAGAACATGGCCGCACAGTTCACTGTCATCGATGGATTGGACAACAAAGGCTATGAGCCCAGTTCCAATACCAGCAATACCATCTATTCTACAAATACGTTTAGGAAATTGACCACACCGCAGTCGAATTTACCACCACAGCTGATGCCCGGCATTTGGACGACAAAAATGCACGAGGATGTCCAACCAATGTGATTGAATATACAACTGTATGTGCTGATTGACGGTTAGGGGAACCAAGACAACTGCTGGAATTGTGCAAGAGTAAAGCTGGAATAGATATTTGGAATGGATTTACGACTTTGGACTTGCTGTGAATTATACAATTGAACGGTCTAAAAATTTGATATACTCTATAAACAAATCTTTTGTGCTATATATATATATATAAGTATATGTGTATATATGTATAAATATTACTATCTAGATTCATCTAGAATCAAAACTTTATAATTCGCGTAAAAATGCAACTTTTTGACATTTATAAGCAAAGTTCAAGCGCTATTCGCCCTATACTATACCGAAAAATCGAGCACAATTTACAAAACGAACTAAAAATAATGCTCAAAAAATGAGAAGAAATCGATGTAACAATAATAACTATCTTAGATGTCAAAGATAACTTTTTAAGTAGTGAATCTTTTAAGCTTAAAGCTAACATTTCAATTAAAAGAAAAGATGCTCTGGTAAACTCATAGATTGAATTACTTTAAGTTCTATGCATATTTCTAGTATACATACGTATGTGTGTATAATTTGCAATTTAAATATTTTCGATAAATCGAGTAATGTAACTTTTACTGTTTGAAACCGAAGAGACCCTGAATATGGATCTAAATATAATAGCATGAGCATAGCCATATATAATATAAATACCTTAGTTAGTTAATGAAAAGTGGAACATGCCGAAAGCAGCTCAGTATTAAAAATAACCAGATAACTTATCCTAAATGAATGTAATGTTATATATGTCTCAAATCCAACAATATAGTTACTTATCGATGTAGTAGAAGCATTGTTTCCTATAAACTTATATCAACCAAATTGATGTTAATATATAAATATAATTATATTTATATATCATTTTGAGTAACCTAGGGCTGTTCCACATTGAAGTGATTGTGTTGCAAACACCTGGAGAGAATAACTTGAAAAGACATATATTAAGTATTTACATTTAATTCTTTATTAATTAACTACAACAATAATAATTCTACACATTAAATTCAAATTAAATTACTTCAATACCATTACGTATTATCAAGTGCAGCATAGAGAATGAAGCTAATTTTTTAAATATATTTAATTACTTTAGTAGTGTTTTAATTTTGTTAAGTAATTTCTTAAATTAACTACTATATAATGAAAATTAGCATATATATATTTTTGCAAATGAATTCGCCTGAAATCTAGTTGAATGTTAAATAATTATGGTTAGTATATGGAATGTTATTCATGGAAAGAGAAATATTTTTTTAATAAATCATACCAAAAACTCATCGAAATTTACATATTTTTCACTTTTAAAGTTGGCGCCGATGATATACCCACATGTATGTTATAAGCGATTACATTTTTATGATAGCTGTGAAACAGTCAATCTATTTTATATCGATATCTGTGTACCACTATCGATAAAATTAAAAAAAAAAACATCTGTGCTCAAATGATTCTGTTGCTGTTCTGGTAAAACTCACTGGACGCACTAAATATAGTAGCTGTTAAGTTTAAAAACAAAACTTATTCAGCCATTTTATTTAAAAATTATTTTTGATAAAATATAAAAACCATATTATAGTATTTTTCATACTGTAAGCAAATGTATTTAATGGATAAACTCACCTGAGCAGAACTTTTCCAATCTAGTTTATACTCGAATGCTGTTAACATGCTATAAATATGTTATATCTACAGTAGTGCTCTTCTTCTGCCCCGCGTCAGACTTTAAATTGTAGCGGCATTTTTTTTTTCTCCCAACGTGTTGTGTTAGAATCCGTAGCAACTCCTTAATATTCTTTGTTTTTAAAAGTATAATTGTTTGCTATCACTACCATATAACCTCGATGATATGGAACTAAATGGACCAGATTCTGTAAATAGCCAACAACTGAACTTAAGCCTTGGCAGCCGCACTGTATTAAAGGAGCTCAATACAAACGATGGCGGCGCAAAGGTAAGTCAATTAATCAATCAATCGGCGTTGCCCGGCTGGGTGAGTGGGCGTGTCATTTAAAGACAAATGAAATAAAACAATTAGCATTCACTCTCCACAGCATATTTATGCATATGAATATAAATACGTGCGTGTATTATAAGTATGTGCTTATATGAGTATGTTTGTATAAATGTGTGTGTGAGCTGATCTTGCGCTCTAAGTTTTCTGCCTTTATTGGCAACTGCGTCGCTTCTGCATTTCGGTGATCGTTTGGCACCTCGAAAATGCCGTCGCACGCTGCAGTTGTTTTAGTGTTGTTCTTTTTAATATTTAACTGTATGCATATGTATTTTGAACTAAAGGGAAAGTATACATACATATGTATATATTTATGTGGCTGGCTTATCAGAAATGTATATAATATACCTACGTATGTATATACCTATTCCTAATCTGTTCGTATTCGACTCTGTATTCACAAAACATAAGTCAACAAAAAATAGGTATTCAGAGTTATGCGAAACTGTGTAACTGGCCAACCTTAAATAAGTATTGAATATGTATTGACATGTATACTCCTAATTTTTCCGTTTTAAATATGCAGATAAACTATGGACTCTGTTAATAACATGATTATGTTAACTTCGCAGCTGTCGGCGTCCGACTTCAAATAGTAGCGGCATTGTTTTCTATCGCGTTTTGCTAAAATGTATATTATTTGTTAATTCTTACATTAACTTATTTTAAACTAATAATTATTTCTTTTCGGTTATACACAGTTTTAGAGTTATGTTACCACTGGCAAGTGGGCGTGTGGAATCGGCAAAACAAGAAAAACAAAACACAATTAGCATTCACTTTCTAATACACTAACTTATGTATATAAGCAGATACATATACATATGTACATGCAAATGCGAATTTGTTTGTGTGCGTTTCTGTTTGTTCTGATCGCCCATTCTGCATTTTCTGCTTTTATTTGGCGTTGCTTATGCATTTCGGTGATCGATGGCCTCCTCGCTGCACGCTCGCTGCAAACCGCGAATGTCACTGTTTCTCCTGATACTTTACATTACAATTCGCTTGTTTATATATTCTTGTGAGTATTTCTACTGAAAGGGTATTTCGGCTTGAATTTAGGAGGCTTATCAGAAACGTATAATATATTTCTAATCTCGTCATTATTATGTCAATATGCCCCTGATGATTTAACAAAAATGGGATGGATGACTTATGGAAATATATATAACATACTAACCATAAGTCTATATATATCTTAATTATACAGTGTCAAATTCGAATATGTTGATAGAATATGTAATTAGACCGAAAGTCAAACTACGGGATATACTTACTGGCTATTTCTCAAATTTCGTTGATTTCAAGGTATACTCAAGGCAGGTTTTTACCAGGGTATATGCCAGTCTGTCAGCTCTTGGCTAGATCACTTTTACTTATTATGGCTTGTTGTCGCTATTGCCACTGCTGTCCGATGTTGACGTTCAGTGCGTTCTACAAGTCGTGGCGATCGGACGTGGAGTAACTCGTAATATATACATACATATATATCCCGTTCCCAAATGGGCAACAAGTCGGGCAAACACTTGAAGTCCAAGGAGTCCGCAACGCTGGATGCGGTAGACAAAGTGCGCAAATACAAAATATATATATATTCATTATACCTACATATAGGGCTTACGTACACGCATTAATTGTGACCGTTAAACGGTAATTTGCCATCTGCACTTGACATGTTCAATTGTTTATGCCGGACAACGTCCAGACGTGCCAAAAAGAAACAACAAAAATTATAATATTGCTCTATATGTATATACTATATTATGTATTGAAATATTTCTTTTCCACGTCAGAATCTGTTTTAAATGCAGTCTAGTCGAAGCATATGCTTTATGATTGTTTCCTGGAATCAGTCGACGTTTTATGACATTTGGATTCGGTTTCCATTCCGCTGCCACATTTTTGAAGCATCTTTTTGGGGTAACTTTCCGGGCATAGCAAAGTTCATTGACAACTCGCTAAAGATGATTATTGTCGCCTCCCCCACATAAAATGCTGTTGTCTGCATTTGTTTTCGTCTATTTATAGGCTAGGTTCAGATTGCCTTCACCCTGCCCTGGTCTGTTTGTTCTTGTTCTATATGCCTTTTGGCGTCTCGTTTGTTTGCCTATTGCATTTTGTTTTGTTTTGATACCCTTTAGTTGAGCAGAAATACTAAATTCCTACTGCATTGGCTCTATCAAATTTCAAATTACATTTTCAATTTAGTAATATAAACTCATTTTCTAATTAGGATATTATACAGACGGTAAGATCTGGAGCTCAATTGTTTTGCTATTTATATACATTGTTCTATCTTGCACTTAGTGAGAGAATTATCGTTTATATACTTTTTAGACTCGTAGCATTCGAGGTTTCCCTTAAGAATAATTTAATGAATCACTACATTTATTTATGATATAATTTTGTTGGCTTTTTGTTTTAGGGTATACCACAGTCGTTATCACATAGCACATAGTCACTGTTGGTTGTTTATAGTTTATAGTTTGTAGCTTGGCTGTGCTGCTGTCTAATGTTGCACTTAAATGCACTGCAGCTGCAATTGTGCAACTGTGGAACTGCAACTGCAACTGTAACTGTGAAATAGGAACTGCTAACTGGGCATAGTATCTGTGGCTATATCATGTCGTGTCACCTGTCACGCATTGCCAGCAGCTTCTCCTCTGGCTCGTCATGGCTCATTGTGTGATATTTGGTTTCTCTCAAAATATGCTAAATCAGCAGCTATTCGACGCGGCTAGGTGAAGAGGGCCCAGGTGGTGGCTATGTGGAGCACTTCCTCAAGTGCACGATGCGCAACAATGGACGCTGCGGGATTGCATGTCTCTTACGGCTGTCACTTGGCATCCACATGGCGCTTATACAGGGTGCTTGCCCCAACAGGGGCCCAACAAACGTTGCTTTCTTTCATCAGCCCAAGCAGCGTTACCCTATTATTGCATTCTCTTCTCTCACCTCTCGCTCAGCTTGTTTGCGGTTGCATTTGTTCGTTTTGCATTTTATGGGTTAGTTGGCGTCGGTTGCGCCTCAAAGACGGTCGCATTGTGCTGCCCCACTCGACTGTGGCACGATCAATAAATTGACTCAAGCTTCAATTAACTAATTGAATTGCATCTGCAAAGCACCCATACGATGCGAGTTAAATGATTACCCAAAGATCGAAGGAGATTAAGCGATTAACTTATAAAGTGAGCTTTAATTGCAATCAGTGAGTGGAAAGTGAACAAAAGCATAAGTGATGATTATAAATGCTGCTCTGATACTCTATAATCAACAGATATAAGCCAACGCTGACGATCACTGATATTCATTATACACAAATATTAGATCATTAAAGCTTAAACAAATAGTAATGATCAGTGATCTTCATTGTATTGAAAAAGTGCTAATGAACGGTGAAAACTAAAAATGCTATTAAATCTGATCCGTCAATTTATTTCATATGATCAATTGATCTCTATAGCTAATTAGTTTCAATTCAATTAAATATTATAAGATTTGAATATGTGATATCAGCTAAGGCAGTTTAGGTACATAAGATCAGTATCCATATTGTTTGTCAAACAATAAAGCCCATTTGAGGACTTTAACCAAAATAGATCACTTATCATCATATTCTAAGATCAGTTGAGATTTAAAAATAAACCTTGATTATTAGAGATTAACTAAGTGAGAGAGAGAGAAAGAGAGAACGAATACCTTTGAGGGTTGCGCAGAGTGTAAACGTTGCGATCGCTTTGTGGATGTCATTCGAATAAGCAGCGATGCGGCTCTCCCTCTCTATCTCACTCTCTCACATACACCTATACATATACACACACACATGACGCCGTCGTAAGGCGAATTGAAACGAAAAAATATTTTTAAATTGATTTCAAACAACGACACGAAACGTGAAAGACAAGACAAACGAGAGCGGACGACACATCCAAATCGGATCTATTATTTAATGATGAGTGCAGAAAAATCAAATATTTGTTCGAATAGTAGGCGGATATAGTGGAACTCTAAGATACTGATATTACAAAAATATAAAAATATATTTGTATATATATATAATAATAACAGGAAACGTTGATTGTTTACTGTCTGTGGCACGCGCAGTGAACCGTAGCCCGTACCGAGCAAATCGTGCGTGGAGATAAATCTTACGCGTAAGGAAAACATTTTCACACAAATGGATTTCCTATCGAATCTCATTAAACGACCTAACAGCATTGCTGTGCCCGATTCAAATTCAGTGGCTCAGGTCGACGCAAAGACACCAGATAGGGGAACCGATCCCAGCTGCAGCTCGACTGCCCCAACAGCGGGGCTCAACTCAAGGCACACTTCACCAAGTCCTACATCGCTAATTACCTTAGCCATGAACCGCTGCTCCATTGATACGGATCTGGAGAATCTATTTGATTCGGCGGCCCAGGAGCTGGATAGCCTAGAGCAGCAGCACAATGAATTGATCGCGCATGTGGAGGCGGCGCCTGTGTCATGCTCAGAATCAGCTGACAAGCCAGCCAATAGCAGGGAAACCATCACACAGCTGCTCAACGAGATTAATTTCAATTTGGATCAAGTGAGCGCACGTGAAATGGAACATTTGCAGGCAATGAGCCTAGAGGTATGTGTGGATTGTGCTTGGGTAAAATGGCTTGATCTTCACTATTGGGAAGGATCGTGAGTTTAGAATGGATGTGAATGAAATCGGCGTATAATGTAACTGTTGATTGTACAGCGAAATACAATCCATATACATTATATGCCTTCATTGTATGTGGACTCTATTCATTTTTGTTTGTGCGTTCCACTTGTCAAATTGCAATTGCCATTTGTATAATTCGCTCAAAGCAAAGCACGAATTTGCCGGGCATGCCTAACGCCAATACCCAGGCGCACCCTAGTTACGAGTCACCTGACTGGCTGCCTCCTGCTCCCTTCTAACGTCCGATCTGACTTTAACCTTGTCGCTTGCAATTGCTCTAATTAAATTGCGCTTGCATTTGTCGACCCACAAGGCCTTCCAACAGCGGACATCGCGCCGCCTGCAATTGGAGGCAGATATCGCCACACGCCAGATTTAATTTCTATTAATTTTATTTTGTTTTCGCATTGCGCCAACGAGCAGATGCCGCCATGCGACCCACTTACCCCAGCTGCTGTACACCTCCGTCCACCCCAACAATGCCCCAAAGCAAGCGCCAAAACATTATTCTGGCTGCTTTTAAAATGAATGACATTTGCTTTGTCGGGCCGGGCGACGATGGGTACTTTATATATATATATATATATATATATATATATATGTATGTGTGTATCTGGGTGCGTATGTGGAAGTAGGTGTGTCACTGCCCCTAACTTGGTCAGCTATGGGTTGCTTATGGCATTTTTTTATGTATGTCAATAGTATGCATGCCTTAGAAAGTAACTTACGCACCAATGCGTTCTACATGTATGTGTGGATGTTGTGGAACGCGAGCTTAAAATATATTTAAATTGGTTCATACACCTTGAAATTAACAGAACATTAAATAAATACGCCATTTTAGTCGTCTATATATTATATAGGTATTCGCATTCCAATTGGACTATTATCTCCTATATATGCGGCTTTTCCGTAGAGTTGCACCCTTTGCCATTTACCTAGATTCGCCCGGATCGTGTCCTATTTTGGTCACCAGCTAAGCTACCAAATGTGGGACATGTCAACGGCTCTAGGGGGCAGCTGCTTCTGCTGTCGCCCATGAATATCGCCAGCGACATCATAATGATCATAAAGATGATAATCTTCTTTGTTTTTATTTTTGCTTAGTTTTCAGCTTGTTTACGTTTTGGTTGCCAATTGTTTGGACTACGTCGCTATCCCTGTTAATTTATTTATTTTTCATAATTTTTCTTCAGCTTCGCAAAAGTCTCTCAGATTCATTTCACACGCGATGCGCAAAATGTCGAATATATTATTATTAATTTTAATTTAAAGCTTCAACAATTTACTAATTGTATTATTTTTGTTGTATGCGCTACAGCTGAGTCCACTGGCTATGAAGCCGTCAACGACAAGGCACAGCTTGGAACAGCAGAAGGCACTCGTCGCGGCAATGCGTTCCACACCACAGCCAGATACGCCAAACAAGGATTTGGAACAACCCTTGCTTAAGCTAACAGGTCTACCCGAGTTCGACGAGACTAAAATTCCTGAACTGGCGCCACTCAGCGCCGATATTGAAGGTGAGTGGACTAGCTAAACAATAAATATGTTTCCTATTACAATTTATACTCTTTGTTCCCACAGCCGAACTGAAGTCGGATGTAAGTGCTCCCACGCTCAGCTCCACGACGGTTAAGTTGAGCGATCACGATTATAATTCCGATTCGGATGTCTATGCCGAGTGCCTCTCGCTGAATAGCATCAAGCTCTCGGCGGATCAGTCTGAGTTGGAAGCTTACTCGAGCGCCTTGAATGAAGTGCTGGAACAGCAGTTGTCGAATGCGACAGCCACAACGCTGGACAATACGCTTAGCGAGGCGAGTACGGCTCATAACGATAGCTGCGAGCCCATGGACGTGGATGATATAAATGAAACAATGGAAATGCTGAGGGATGTGCTGGCTCCAGAGGATCATGAACTGCTGCAGCAACAGTTCCTAGGTGGCGCAATACAGCAAAACCAAAATCATCAGCTACTGCAAATGGCACAATCAGAAGAGCACCACAAGAGGGAGAAATATCAAGAGCAGCATAAAGTGGAGGGTCTGCAGCAGAACACGCAGCTGGAACAGCCAACGCAACCAAATCCCATTTCAATTTCCCCACCTATATCAGTACAGCACATGTCAAAAAAAACCGAGGAGCCTGTGCAAACAGTTTCAGTTCCAGATACTCAATCCGTAGCTGAAATTGAGGATAAACCTGCACATAATGATCAACAGCTGGGGGAATTATTAGAAACTCATACTCCAGTTTCTCCTTCGCCGCCGATAGCTAGACTGCAAGCAGCTCCAACACCTGTCTCACCTGTTCCTTCTGCAATGCCCCAAGTGGAGGAGTCCATACCGGAATCTGCTCCAGTGCCACCAGTGGAAACGCTACCCTTATCGCCGCCCATACCCACGCTTCGCGCGAAGACAGCTAAAGAGTTAGAGGAGCTGATGGCTTTGCAGGGATACGTCCAGCCGCTAGAGGAATTAGAGCAGTCAGTACAGCACATGTCAAAAGAAGCCGAGGAGCCTGTGCAAACAGTTTCAGGTCTAGACACTCAATCCGTAGCTGAAATTAAGGATAAACCTGCACATAATGATCAACCGCTGGGGGAATTAGTAAAAACTCCTACTCCAGTTTCTCCTTCGCCGCCATTGGCTACACTGCAAGCAGCGCCAACAGCTGTCTCGCCTGTTCCTTCTGCAATGCCCCAAGTGAGGGACCAATTAGTGGAGGAGTCCATACCGGAATCCGCTCTAGTGCCACCAGTGGAAACGCTACCCTTATCGCCGCCCATACCCACGCATCGCGCGAGGACATCTAAAGAGTTGGAGGAGCTGATGGCTTTGCAGGGATACGCCCAGCCGCTAGAAGAATTAGAACAGTCAGAAAATGATGTAGCTACTAAGGATAGTAGCTCGCCCAAAAAGGAGCAAAGTTTGCAATCTTCTACGGCCATACCCATTGCTTCTGTTGTACCAAAACCAAAGTTATTCTCAGCGCTTGAACTAAATATAAGCGACTCGTCGCAAGGACCTTGCTCAGCGCCTGTATCACCCACCTTCCCAGTCAAGTCACCTGAAGAATCGCCAACACACTTTCCTCGCTCGCCGCGTGCCCCGGCAGAGCGGGATGAGATGCCCTATCTGGAGCCAGCCATTGAGCAGAAGGAGTGCCTAGCCGGTGTCATAGCCAAATCACCGTTACCCATACAATTGACGGTAACGAAGCCCAGTCCAGAGAAGCCGCGGCAGGATCAGCAGCTGAACACAACTATTCCTTTGGGTGGAGGCTCACCACTTAATGGCACCTTCGACAGTGCCACTGTGGAGTCGTTTGAGGCGGATGCTGAACGTTCTTCGCGTCGTACATTTGGTGTACCGCTTGATGCAAGCTTGGAGCGGCAGCGCCGTACATTCTCGGTGGTTCCAGATGAGCCAGTCGAGCACCAGGAGATACCTAATCGGCACAGCAACTCCGATGCATCCCAGGTCAACGAAGATGATAATCAATTGAATTCTACTTATGGCATGCCACTGCAAGCAGCTCCGGCGGAGCAGCGTCGCACCTTCTCCATGCAAAACGACATACAGCGGATGGAACAGCCGAGCATGCGAAAAACCTTTAACCTGGAGCAGGACGCATCGCCTGCAATGGAGGCCACCGAGGAGAACATCATGTCTGATGAATTTGAGCCCATGGATGTAGATGTGTCTCTGCGTGTCAACACTAATTCAGAACAGTCTACGAAATGTGGCAACTTTGCCGCCCAGCTGGTCGAGGCCCAAGCTGTGGCACTGCCGTCGGCACCGTCGTCGCCGCCTTTGCCCGCACAACAGCATGCCCAGCGAGTACTACGGTCATCCCCGCCGCTGCCTGCCCAGCTCAAGCGTCCGTCCATACACAAGGAAATGCCAGCCAATGCAACGGTTGTGCTGGACGTGCAGATGCTGTCTATGAAAGAGCAACTCAGTGCCGGGGACGAAAAAGAGGATGTATTTGTAGAGCACTTTGGTGCCATGTCTCCCATTTCGGACGACCTCTTCAAGCAGCCCCAATGCATCAGCACCTTCGCCAAGGCCAACAGGAAAGCGTCCATCCCAGCCAGCGTACCCGAACAGGAACAATTCTATGATGCAGACTTCCAAGATGGCGCCAGCAACAATAACAGTAAGTAATGCCCCTTTCTATAATATTAACATTGCATCTGGGCTAGAAAAATATCCTCATACTCATTAGAGATAAACGCATGTCTATCTTTAATAATAGTATACCATATGAATTAATATACATACATATATACATATAAAATATTAGAAACACATCCTGCCAAATCGTATTCTTATCCACATCACGCGCTCATCTCTAAATACAAAACTCATAGAATAATTCTGCTCCCCACTACCTATTGGTAACATTCTTCGAGGTAATACACTACTGTTATGTTCGTGACCTTTACTCATCAGCTGCCATTGCGTGGGAGATGGGGCTGCCACCTCGGCTTTGGCATTTGAACTTGAAATGCCGAGGGCCGAGGTTTCTTCATTTGCATGTACCGCTGCGACCCGCATGACCAGGCAGCAGCGTCTAGCTATAAAAATAAATCACAACATGCAAGGCAATGAACCTGAACTTCAGTTCCATAACATAACTGCATGCAAACAGGAAGGGAAGCTACAACAACAATGTGCCGTCAATTAAGCGCATAATTTTTGACTGCACCACAGCTGTCTGCATGGTTTTGTTGGGTTTCCTGCATTTTAATGCAACCGCTGTGTTTCGAAATGCCGCATTGCCCCTTCGGACATCCACGCACTCTCACACACACTAACGCTTTAGAGTCAAATAGTGTGACGTTTTTGCCTTGCGCCCTCACGCCCCCCAATCAGGCAACTCTCTTATTGACACTCTCGCGCTCTCTGCGCAGTTCAACCCTTATCAGTATACCGTAATCGCCGCAACAAAATAAACTCATTTTGTCTCCACTGTGACGTCAGGCTACCAATTGATGGAATGTCGTCTGTGAATGTGTGCCTCCGATGAGCGCATTTATATTTTCGGGTAATTAACGAGAGGCGTTGCCTAATAAGAAAATTGCTCATACAAGCAAAATAATGTCATTCAATGAGTTTTGTCTGTCTATATCGAGGTTTACACTTAATTAATGTAGCATTGATGAACTTATTTTCGAATTGTGCGCAGTTATCGTTATCGCTGACTAAGCAAATGCAGCTCTGCTCTATGAACATAAAAGGTTCATATCGATAGAATGTATCTCACATCATTCAAAGCAACAACTGAAGTTGAAAAAGAGGGGTGATAAATACAGTAAGCCCCAGCTAACACTGAACAGAAGTGAATCGAAAACGAAAATATTTCCATGAAAAACATTTATTTTGCCGGTGCATAGTTATAGTTTCATTATAGCACATTGCATCCGTACATTGTCTGTCTCACTCTCCCAGATACAAACATACACAAAGCATGAGAATCTTGTATAGAACTTGCCCATGCACTTTTACTACGTCAGTCAGCAAGGCAGCCCCAGAACCTACAACGTGTACACGACACATACTTGCTCACACTCATATTATTTTACTCTCACCATATGGCATGGCGCGCGCTCTCCTCTCTCTCTCTCTCTCTCTCGACGCTGGCGCATCGCACTTGCTCATTGCATACGCGTCACTGTCACACACTCCAGTCAGAATCCAACTTGACTAGCGGCTCTCCGTAGGCTCTCTGACTCAGTTTGTGTCAATGTGTGCGTGTGTCTATGTGCTTGCGTGCGCTGGTTTTCTTATTGGCATCGGAGAAAAGTAAGCATATTAGCATTCCATTTCAGTTAGTTTTCAACATTTGACGTTGTCGCCACAGCTTCTTCCCGCGTCGCACAGTCGAAAAAAAAAAAACAACGTCTACGCCTCTTTCTTTTTTGTGGAATAATCGCTACATAGTAAATGTAATTGGAAATTTTTAAGATCAAAACAAATATTTATGGTATTGACTATGTTTGGAAAATGTTTGCACTACGTTTTCTGAGTGAAATTTGTGAAAAATTAACCATACGCTAAGCAGCTGGCCACACTTCAATAAAAACAACAATAACTCGCGCAGTTACAGAAAAGTGTCAATGACAAAATGCGAAAGAAACAAAAAGGAAAAAAGCATAAATAAAGCCACAAGCTGAAGACGTAGACTTAAGTAAAAAGTTGTATATTTTTTCCACTTAGAGCGAGAGCGTAAAAATTTACTGTGTGTGTGCGTGCGTGTTCAAGTGCTTGGCATTGTGTGTGGTTGGTTGTATGTGCGTGCGTGTGTGGGCGATGCGTGGTTATGATTAACATTGAGTATTTTAATAACTGTAAAAAATCTTGCAAATGCAAAATATGTAATGAAATGGACGGACACACGCTATTAAAAATGCAGCGCATTGTAAAAAGATTTCGCGCGAGTGCTATCTCATGCGCTAGCTCTCTGAGCACTCTCTCGCTCTCTCTTTTACGCTCGCTCTCTTCTTGCTTTGTGTCTTGTCAATGCATCAGTTTGTCAATTGGTTCGCCGTACAAAAACAAGAAGAACAAAATTCAACCCACTTCCCTAGGGCCTTCATACTACGCTTGCAGAAAATGACTCACAGGCCGTAATTGCGGCTTCGCTTTTTGTTTTGTTCGCGAAATGTATTTGGCAGAAATTATGGTTATATTCTAGTTGTTTTGTTTTGCTTTGCACCCTTTGGAAGTTGAGTGACCCGCATTCTCTATTCGCTATCGATGTATCTGTGTTTATCTAGGCCTGCCCGGGTTTCGCTTCTTACTATTTTTAAAGCTGATTCCAATTGACATTTGTTTATGTTGCGGCGCATGTTGGCCGATTTAATGGGACACACCTCACATTACGGCCACGGGTGGGAGCGGGGCAACCACCCTAAAGGGCAGGGCACACTTTGAGTCATTCTGCATCTTATTTAAATAATGTCGCATTCGTTGCCGTCATTTCCCTTCCGCTTTTGTTTTACAAAGGTGAAGCACAAAGAACAAGAGACAACAGATTTCAGATGCTTTCTGGGCATTATGCGCTGCATATACACAAATATTGGGGAACATTGAAACAGAGAAGCGTTATGTAAAACAAATGAATAACAAAATTATGTCAAATTACCAGGAATATATATATATATTTTTTTTAACAGGTTCAGGCATCTTCTTATCTTATCTTCAAATATTTCAAAATATTTCTAGTGAACTGATTCATTTAGAAATTGTTGTACCGTAGCACATTAATAATTCTCCTATGTCTCAACAACTACGCCAATAATTGTCATGTGCCTTTATTTTTTCATTTTTGATTTATCTATGCGACTTATGGCCCAGTCGCTATACATGAATATATTTATAAAGAGTGATCCTCAAATCTGATATAATATAATGTGTTCTATTTATGTATTATTTCCATTTGTGATCTAACTTTTGTATTTATCTATTCTCTTTTTCATTGAACAACAACAAAATGCACGCGCATGGTCTCATAACTTCCACACATGATCTACACGCACGTTCCACCTCCAAAGTTATACTCAATTCATCTGATTTCGATTATCTGTACACAAAAGGCAGCAACAATGCGCCCGTCGATCGGAGCTCTTTGCTTTTGAAATTTGATCCACTTCTGGGTGCTCCGGTACCAGTGAATCAGTTGCCGCAACAGGAGCAAGCAGTGCTCAACAAACTCAGCAACAACAACAATATTGCACGGGCATTGAGTCCCACCTTGGAGGAGCACGAAACAAGCGGCAGCAACCACTCATTTGCAAGCGAATCAAGTGCCAAAGGCGCCACTGGAGCTCAAAAGGATTTCAAGCCGCCAGTAGATAGAACAAAAGTGAGTTGTGTATGCCAATTGTCTGTTATGAATAACACTATAAATCGTATCTCTTCCTCTCAGAAACATGCTAAAATGAGTGTGGACGTTATCGATAACGATTGCAACAAAACCTTCGATAATTCAAGGTGGGTAAAGCAACAATTTCAAAATTTTGAATGCATTTGTAATATACTTTATTTTATTTATCAGTCTGAACTCGGAGGAAAAAACACACAAGTACCACAATATGGATGAACTGGAGAAGAAAATCAAAAATGAAGTGTAAGTAGTAATAATCCCAAATATGCGAAAAATAATATAAGATATGGTCTTTTAGCACCCGCTCCGAGGACATTGAAAAAAAACTCAAAGAGGCCGAACAGCGCGAAGAGGCGCTGGTCAAACGGATTACAGAAAAGGATAAAATAAATGCAAAACTCAAGTGAGTTATATCTGAATTATATAGGGCTGGAAACAGAGTCACTAAACTTACAATCCACACACATACAGCGGCGTCATTGAGGCCTACGAGAAAGCTATCGCAGAACTTATACATGACAAGGAGCAGTTGGTGCAAACCCATGAAAGGCAATTGCAGGAAGTGCAAGCAGATCGTGATGCCAATTATCATCACTTAACGTCGCTGGAAACGACATTCTCAGATCTCCATGTGTATGCAAAAATTTTTATAACTCTATATATCTATATATACTAATCGTATTTCTATCAATTGATAATTATAGCAAGTACGAAAAGAGCAAGGAGATGACCGCTCACCTGAAGCAGATCGAGGAGAACCTGCTGGAGGAGAAGAAGAGATCACTGGATAAATTGCGACAGCAGGAGCAACGATATGAGCAAATGAAAAGCCATGCCATGCAGCAAATGGAAATGTATGTAAATTCTCAACTATTATCTAATAATACTAAAATTAACACATCTCTCTCTCTCCCTTAATTCTCTATGAAGTGCCAACAAAAAGCTGGCCCTTCTTACAAAAGAGCACGCGGATGAAATGAAAAAGTTGAAAGCTTTACTCAAAAAGGAGGAAGTGTCGCGCATTTCAACGGCAGAGCAACTGCAGCAAAAATCAAGGGAGAATGCGGATCTGCTAAAGATATGCGAGGAGCTTATCTATGATAAGGGACAAGGTGGTAGTAGTTAAACTTCACCCGAGTGGATTATTTTGCGGCCTGAATGTATTTTCTACATATAATTTACGCTGTTAACGCGCACACATACATGCTCTCTCTCACACCCATACACACATAGAAACACTCACATACTACGGCATGTGGAACGCATGTTTGTCGCATGTTCATTCACCCATTCGCGTACTATCTCATTACATTTTGTAATTTTTGTTGTGTGCTCTCGTGAATTGATTGAGAACTTCATATTAAATCTCAATTATTAAGCTGTCGTCTATTTTGAACTGGAGGACTCTCCCCAAACACTATGTCTAACTATCCATATATATGTATATTGTACTACTTCTAGATTTTTAGTTTACACACACAACACCAGCAACAACAACAGTAGCAGTAACAGTGCGCCGAGCTGCAAATGAGTTCCACACAAAAGCCGAAATCCACACACTCGCCTCACTGCTGGGTGTTCGCTCCCCTCTCCTCAAAATGTTATTAATTTCTTTCGAATCTGCCTTTTGTTAAAGTTTCATGATATTAATATGTTATTTGCCGAAAATTCGAGTTGATTTTCATGCTAAATATCAGATAATACTTTTCCCCATACACAAACAGACACACTCACATACTTTGAATTGTTTGTTGTGTTTTATTGATTGATGAAAATTTGAAAGAAACTTGGCAACAACTAAAATAGAGATGAAAACAGCGTACGCTCGAGGCGTGCCTTTATTAATTGTTTAAGTTTAATGTTAGTTTAATTTAAATTTAAAAAATTGTAATAATTGTATTAAGCTTGAAATTCTGTATTACATAATAGTACTAAAACAAAACAAAGCATAGAAAATACCATAACGAATCATTACAAAAAGGAAAAAAAAACTATTTATGCATTAAAGAAAAAAGCTAATTTTTTGTTTCAATTACAGCTTTATATGAATTTTCATTTGCCTTGCACTGAGAGTGTTTGCCTTAGAAAAGCAATAGTCAAATTTAAAAGGACCGCGTGTGCTTTAAGATATCCTCTAACCCTCCTTTTAAATATCCTAGTCCACCTCTCCAAACACGCGGTCCACACAAATTTCGAACATCTTCTATTGTATCACGCTTTGTAGAGCCAACACCGCCTCTAAGAACTATAAATGAATTTTACTTCCATTTATGACATTTATTAAGATGTAAGAAGCTGAGAAACAGAAGAGAGAAAATAACCTTACAAAGTTGTTAACACACACAAATAAACAAAAGAATTGTATACAAACATTTGTACCCAGTCCATGTAATCGAATATTATGCTACTATACCAACATATATAACGGTATACATATACTATATATTTTTCTAAAATTGTAGCATTCATTAACACACGCGCTTTAAAACAAATTGAAACCCCTTGAGAGAAAAAGAAAACGCAAATCCATTTTGTTGTTTGAGATTTAAAATAAGAAGAGGAAATGATATATATCAATGCGCTGTAAAAAATACACATAATATATAGTATTAACGACGTGCTGGCACATTCATAATATGTGCAGCGGCATGTGCATGTAAAGGTGATGAATAAGTTGCATAATTCAATAAATACAAAATATGTACGAGTAATATTACAAGAATTTTTATTTGGATTTTCAAACTGAGCAAAGCTAGAAATGTGGCAGCGCTGCCACCAGGTTTTCTGGCAGCCTTTTGTTATCAATGTTTTATATTATATGTGGCAACGCTAGTAACAGCTGATCTACGATCTTGAACCGTCCTTCTCTCTCGCTCTTATCAAACGAAAACAAAACAACTGAACAGAAAATAAAAGCTGCGCATTTGAAGCCAATCAAGTGCTTACATAATCTAATCAACAGCTCACACTTCACGTCATGAATTTCGCCGGCAAAGTTGTGCTCATCACAGGAGCCAGTTCCGGCATTGGCGCTGCCACAGCAGTGAAATTTGCCAAATACGGCGCTTGCTTAGCTCTCAATGGACGCAATGCAGAGAATCTGAAGCAAGTGGCGGAACAATGCAGTGCAGTAGGTGGCGCAGCACCAACGCTTGTTGTTGGAGACATCAGCAAGGAAGCGGATACGGATCGTGTCTGGCAGCAAACACTCCAGAAATATGGAAAGCTAGATGTGCTAATCAACAATGCGGGCATTCTGGAGTCGGGAACCATTGAGAACACCAGTCTGGAGCAGTACGACCGTGTGATGAACACCAATTTACGTGCCATCTACCAACTGACAATGCTCGCCACACCAGAGCTGATCAAGACCAAGGGAAACATTGTCAATGTATCCAGTGTGAATGGGATTCGCTCCTTTCCCGGCGTGCTTGCCTATAACATCTCCAAAATGGGCGTTGATCAGCTCACACGCTGCGTCGCCCTGGAGCTGGCTGCTAAAGGTGTGCGTGCCAATTGCGTGAATCCCGGCGTGACGGTCACAAATCTCCACAAGCGTGGCGGTATGGATGAAGTGACGTACCAGAAGTTCCTAGAGCACTCGAAAACCACACATGCCTTGGGTCGACCCGGCACCACGGAAGAGGTGGCGAATGCCATTGCGTTTTTGGCCAGCGATTTGGCTAGCTTCACCACGGGTGTCAGCCTGGCTGTGGATGGCGGTCGCCATGCCATGTGCCCGCGTTAATCATATTCAAGCAATGGACTGAAATCCCGAATTTATGCATTTATTGTGTGCCTGTCAAATAAAGATGTTTTCAAGTAAAGTGAATGTCCTATTAAAAGCCGTATTAACCAAAACCTAAAGAAAAAGCGGGTGAGGATCAAGGTGCCTGCCTGCCGTTAATTAGAAGAGTCCCATCGGATAAACTGGAAGTCCAGTTAGCTTTTGCCTAACAGGAATTCGTATTACAATTCCAAGTTTTTTTCTCCCAGAAAAGCTGTCATTTCAACCAGAATCAAGCCCAATTGGATGTATAACGCATTTATTCCAATTGGAACAACATATTATCAAATTAGATAGTCATGTCATGCGTATTAATAAATGCTTTTTATTTTATTCACATGATGTTCATTCCATTCTAGCTTTTATCGTGGGCACATAGCATGACGACCTCCATCAACGGCCAGATTAACGCCTGTGGTAAAGCTGGCATCGTCGCTGGCGAGGAATGCGATTGCAGCAGCTACTTCCTGGACATTGCCGGGGCGACCCAGTGCATGTGTTTCCTTGGAGCGCTCCAGGAACTTTGCATAGCTTTCATCATTGAGACCGCCACGTTTCTGCAGCTCCGTGATAATCACGCCAGGATTGACGGAGTTAACGCGTACGCCCTTGGGGGCCAGCTCCAGGGCAACACACCGCGTGAACTGATCCACGGCGGACTTGGACATGTTGTAGGCGAGCACGCCGGGAAAAGCGCGCAGGCCACAGACACTGGACACATTGACAATACTGCCCTTCGTCTTGATCAGCTCCGGTGTGGCCAACATGGTCAGTTGGTACACCGCACGCACATTGGTGTTCATCACGCGGTCGTACTGAGCCAGAGATGTGGTCTCAATGGTGGCCATTTCGATGATGCCGGCATTGTTGATCAGCACATCCAATCTGCCATACTGCTTCAACGTGGCTGCCATAATCTGCTCTACATCCGCCTCTTTGTCCATGTCCGCTTGCACCTGCAGTGCCGGCGCACCGCCCACAGACAGAATTTTATCCGCCGTTTCCTTCAGTTTCTCCACATTGCGGCCCACAATTACCAAAAGGCCGCCGAGGCTGGCCAGGTGTACGGCAGTGGCTGCACCAATGCCAGAGCTGGCACCTGTCACAATGATTACCTTATCTTTGAAATTTGGCATATTTATGCTGCGCTAGGTGATGCGACTGGCTTTACTAGTGGCTCAACTACTAATGATTCGGCCATTTCACATTGATGTTGTCAGCAGGCAGAAAGCCGATAAGAATTCATTCGATGAGTCGAGCCAGTGTTGCCGATCACGCAAAAGGTAGCAAGAATTTAACTGCATAATTAGATAAATTCAAGTTCAAAGTTGTGAAATTCGAATCGAATTTAAGCCGATAACAAGCTAAATCAATAAACCACTATTTTTGTTTTTGCTCTCATTTGTGCTAAATTTAAATCGTGATTAAAGTCGCTAATTGAGTTGTTTGTGCTGAGTATTCTATTTTTAATAAATGCCAAAATATACATGCTTTAAGATACAATTTTAACGTGGGCACATGGCGTGTCGGCCGCCATCTACGGCTAGGGTAACCCCTGTAGTAAAACTGGCAGCATCGCTGGCCAAAAACGCAATCGCTGTGGCCACCTCCTTTACGTCACCGGGACGACCCAAGGCATGCGTGGTCCTCGAATGCTCCAGAAATTGTTGATATGTTGCCTCGTCCATACCACCACGCTTGTGTATTTCCGTGATAATCACGCCAGGGTTAACGGAGTTCACGCGCACGCCCTTGGCAGCCAGCTCCAGGGCGACGCAGCGCGTGAATTGGTCCAGGGCTGCCTTAGAGATGTTATAAGCCAAGACGCCGGGGAAGGAGCGTATGCCGTTCACGCTGGACACATTGACAATGTTGCCCTTGGTCTTGACCAGCTCTGGTGTAGCCAACATGGTTAGCTGGTAGACTGCACGCACATTGGTGTTCATCACGCGATCGTACTGACCCAAAGAAGTGTTCTCAATGGTACCCCTTTCTAATATCCCCGCATTGTTGACCAGCACATCAATACGTCCGTGCTTAGCCACCGTAGCCTTAACAATTTGCTCCACATCCGCCTCCTTGTCCATGTCCGCCTGCAGCTGCAGCGGATCAGCGCCACCGGCAGCCAGAATATTATCCGCTGTCTCCTTTAGCTTGTCCACGTTGCGGCCAACGATGGTGAGCAGGCCACCCAAGCTGGCTAGATGGACAGCTGCCGCTGCTCCAATGCCAGAGCTGGCGCCAGTCACAATAATTATTTTGTCCTTGAAAGTCGACATCACAAGCTGCGATCCAAACGACCTATTGCAGGTGATATCGATAACTAGTTAGAACGATAGCCTTAGAAGCACAGCTGATTTTCTTGCGAAAGCTTTCTCCGCTCAGCTGTGCAAAGCTTTCCACTTGTCACTCCGGAACCTAACTGATTGGAATGTAATAAACAAGTTCCACTATTGTTTCTAAATTTTTTTGTTATATCAAACAAATTGCACTGTTTTTTTAAACTTAGATGTTGTTTTTATTCTCTTTAAAAAAACCGCTACGAATATGCTGCTCGTATTGTTGTTGTGTGGGCGCTTCTTAAGACTCGTAGCCATATGACTTGATAATCTTGTTGAAGGGTTCAGCAGCCTTGGCAATGTTCTCGCGCGCCTTCGCTGTCAACTTCTTCATCTCTCTGTTGTGCTTGAGGGTGATGCGGAGCTTGGATTTGCGCTTGCGCTCCAAACTCTTGATCACATCCTGGTAATGCCAGCCAACCTCGTGCGACAGACGTCCAACCTGGCAGTATTTACGATCGGAACGCAGGGTCAGCACGCGCAGAGCAATGGGTACAACAACACGGCGACGCTTATCGTAGGGCGATGGAATACCATCGAAGACACGCAGACGAGCGAGAGCAGCCTGGCCACGCTTGGTCTTGTGTGGGATCATGCCTGGAATGCCAAAAGAATATCTATTAGCGAAATATTCAATGGGTATTATATAGATATTAAAGTGACTGTAGGGATCAGTTGTTTGTTGGTTACACGATTTCTCGTTCAAATAATGTAGGTAAGATATTAATTAATCATCATGGTAAGAGCTGAACCTGATCAGCTAATGTAGCACAAACATACCTGCAATAAGAATAACAATAATTAGTAAAGGTTTATAGCTTACAAATATTTATAGAATATTCGAATTGTCTGCACTCAGTTCGGTTTTGTTTACACGGCTTTTCTCTACGTTCAAATAATGTAGGTAATAAATTTTGCACATCATGGTCAACAACAAACTGTGAGGCTTGACATGACTTGACCATAACGCACCTCGTACAGCCTTGTAGAAAATTCTGGATGGAGCACGGAAGTGGAAGGGACCACGCGCTGGGTTAACGTTGCAACGTTTGCGCAAATAGGCCAAAAACTTAATTTTGTTTCTGTAGAAGTGACCAGAAAGGTTCAGCTCCTCGCAACGCACAACAGCCACCTTGCCGCCTTGCAACAGGTACTTGGCTACCACGGAGGCCAGGCGGCCAAGCAAATGGCCGCGTCCATCGATAACAACGGTCTATAATAAAAACAAATTAGTTTTAGCATTTACAACAAAAAATTAGGTTATGTTGAGCGACAGGGTATAAACAAATGTGTGCAGATTCATAAAATAGATAACAATTGAATTTCACATATCCATTTGGTATCAACAACAAAATTTAAAGCACTTGCTCCTCACATGCAATTATCCATTTTAAGTAGCACTTCCGCGCCTGCCATTTTTTTGGACTGGGATTGGGCACGTGTACACGAACACAACTTTTATGAACTAAAACACAACGCTACATCACAGTTTAAGTCCACAATAATGCACATTTATACATAGCACACAGTTTCATGAGTATTTTGCACACATTTGTAACATTGTCCCATCCCGCAAACATAGTTTTATTTGCCAAAATTCTGGCACTTACCCTATTCGTTAAACCAGTCATGTTTAAGAACCGCACGGAAAGAAAGCGGAAACAGCTCTGACAGCTCAAGCGTCATACAGCAGGGTTGCTTTGACCGGTTGCATAGAAACAAAAGTTACTTGATACAGGTATGAAATCGCTATTATTGACAGTCATATATTATCGATTATTAATATTGATGTATCGTTTTATTTTTTTTGTGTATGGTCACTCCGTTTGAAAATTTATTCTTAGGTGTATTTTAGACGGCGGCCAAAGCGGATCGTTTGGCTCTCGCGGTGCCAATTTGTTTACAAAAAAACTAAATGAGACGAAAATATAAATAAATATTTATTGAAAACTTGCTACTAGGCAATGTTAATGCAAATGTAACGCGTGTGTGTGTGTGCTTGTGCAAAAAGTGTGTTAAGCACACAAAGATCTAAGTAAAGAGCTTTGTGTCTGTGTGTAGGTGTATGCTCTTATTCTGTTCAATTTGCCCCCCAAATCAGAAACAACAAATAAGCAATAAACCAACGGGATCATCAGCACAGCAGCGACGTCGGCATCAGCACTAGCAGTACATCGATGATTTGACTGTCGACAGGAAAAGTCAACACCTTATAAGGCAAGTCTTTATTTTATTATGAATGTATATGCTTCGGAGGGGAGGACGGGGGCAGGTTGCTCATTGGCATACAAATTTTAATTGTGTTAACATGCCGACAATGTTGTTTGATATAATAATGCAGTATTATTCTTGCTATTTGATTAAATGCAATTTATTTAAATAAAAAAAGTTGTTGATATACCTTTGTGCATTCTCTCTTTCCCTTTCTCTCTCTCACATACACACTCCCTTGAGCTGACCCGTTTAACTATCTTTTGACGTTATGCCTTTCCCCCTATTTTCGGAGGCACAAGTTTTCATCCGTCGTGTGGTTTACTTTTTCCTTTTGCTAATTTTTAAATTGGGTCAATGCATGCGTCGGACAATTTACTTGTTTTTCTTTTCAGCGTTCACCTCACATGTCTTTTGGTTGTTTTGTCTTGGTTTGTTGTTGTCGAACCAGTTTCTTAACCTTGTTTCCTCTCCAAGTGCAATTGTCGCTTGACTCTTGCTTTTTGACAATTTGAATGTTCTACTTTTTCGCGACAAAATTCGGTGGATTTGAGTGTGTGTGTGTGTGTGTTAGTGTTTGGGTTTGTGTTGTCAATGACAACTTAATAGACGAACGCTGGCTTCATAACGGCATTAATGCGATTTGCTAAATTATGTTCAGCTAGCATGCGAAGGAAAAATAGACACAAAAACAAAAATAGAAAATGGAATTATTTTTTTTTTTATGTATTCAATATAGTGAAATTAAATGCGTGTTCATTGTATCACCGCCTAGCAACAAACACTCCTTTTTTTTATTCGTATCACTCTCCGGTCACAAAGGAAAATGATGACTCCTAACTCTCGCATGCATATGTATTGATAAATGCGTGTGTGTGCATATTGTGGACTCAAAGTGCTTTTTATAGGATTTATAACATTCCAATCAGAGTCTCAGCGATAAAAGAGAACGAACAGCTGATCAGCTCAGTGCCGTTGCCAGTGGTGGTAAACGTTACGATTTGACGCGCTGCTGATTAACGCGCTAGAAACATGTGAAACAACAAGAATATAATTTAATTCTAAATGTAAGTACAAAATATATTTATGTATATAAACGGGCTGTATTTCATTTAATCTTGCAGATGTCTAACTTGAACTTCTATGAACTCCTTAATGCGAACGCAACGGCAACATTTGAAGAGCTTAAGCGCAATTATAAACAATTAATACTACAATGTCATCCCGATAAATTACAACAACAGCAAACTGTAGCTGTAACTGTAACCGCGAACGAGAGCGACCCAAATCGAGAGAGCGACAACAATTTCAATGCGATAAACGAAGCCTGGAATACGCTTAAAGATCCCATAAAGCGTAAACACTATGATGCCGAATTATTGCAGTCGAAGTTTGAAAAACACAACAATATCTATGCCAGCGTAACGCTAAGCGACATGCACAGAACTCGCGTCGAAATGGCTGAAGACGACGAGGAGGGGGAGAATGAGAATGAGAATGAAATCGAGACAGACAAAGAGTCGGCAACAACAACAACAACAGCAGCAGCAGCTAAGTGGAGCTCGGCCTATGCGTACGATTGTCGCTGCGGCGGACAATACGTGCTGCTGGACGATGAGTCACAAAGAGAGCAGCAGCCGAGGGCAAGTGAAATGATTGTCGAGTGCAGCGAATGTTCTCTAGTGATAATTGTGAAACCAGACGCAAATATATCATAAAACTGTAATGCCCACATATGTATGTATGAATGTATGTAAATAAATTGTAAAAACAAACTGCGTACCGTTCTTTTATCTTTTGTGGCTTTAAATAGGAAACAATAGCAATATTGATTTGAGCTATCGAATTAAGCGCTGATTGTTGTCATTTTTAATCAGTTTCTTGAACCTTGGGCCCAGCGACTCGTTTTTATATGCACGCAAAACTGGTTGTATCGTGCATACTTAATGCCCTTCCTTTCTTTTCATTTCTTGTTGCTTGCCCAACGCCAAAGCACACCAAATGAAATGATGTAATATTTTGGTATCGTGTACACATAATTTGGGATTGCAGTCACTGTCAACCATTTTTCATTTCCGTTGTGCAAAATAAACGTCTTTATTAATGCTGTTTATGTCTTTGACGCGTGTGAATTGTCTTCGGGTGTTATGTGGGCCACATTCAAATCGCCAAATGCGATTAGGTCTAGCCAAAAAAACGAGAAAAACCGATAAAACTGCTTCCCCCACTCAGGCGTAATGTGGCAGCTTATGCGGGTTAATTTTGGGTCGTGTTGCTCCACTGTGCAGTTAAATTGATGCTGTTCAAGATACATACATATGTACATACATATATATTTAATTTCACGTCTCTTTCTACACAGTTGTTTGAAGTTGGATAGTATTTTTAACTGAACAGCAAAGTTTGTTGACTTTTTCTGTCCAATCGTTTCAGTTCTAGAAATGGCTACAAATAACAGTTTTCAACAGCGAACCGTTACCTCAACTAAATCCATTTTAGATATGTGTACATACATATGTACGTACACATATATTTATTAATGGCTATTTACACACATTTAAGCGGCTTTTGTGGTGTATGTATTTTAACGTAATTACTGTCAAATATTTTTTTTTATTTTTATATACAATACATATATTTTTCGAATACGAATAACCTCGCCTTGCTTTTACTGGTCTGATGATGTCAGCGTGCACAAAAATACAAATATAAACATTTGCCTGTATACGCTACACGCTCACTGGCAATTTTATATTGGTTTATTGTATATTATTGCAAAGTAATTTGCATGCTGTTTTCCTCTCCTAACAGCTCTCTATCTGTCTATTGCTTGCTCTCTCGCACATGTTTAGTGCCTAAGTGCGTGTGCTTTATTGATAATTAGCGGTGTCTGAGCTTTCGTTTTCAGCTCGATACAAGTAGCGACTCGATTTCCAGCTTATTAATTACGCCGACTGACGTGGAAAACAAAAGCGACTGAGATTTATTGTGTATATTGCGATTGTGCTCTATTGTGTATATGTGTGCGTTTATCTTTATCTCTTTAGCATCTCTTACTTTAATAACCTTTTGACACACAAAAATTGAAACGCTTTAGCGGCTTCAGTTCCTGTAGATGTCTCTCTCTCTCTCTCTCTCTCTCCCCCCCCTTTCTTACTCTTTTTCTCCATCTGTCCCGCTACTATTGTTACGTGCTGTTGTTGTGACACGCGCTACGATTTTAAAGATAGCGGCCGTGTGTAAATGTGTATGTATGTGTGCAATGGCCCACACATTATTAAAACGAACTCAGATTCAACACTAGCTCCAGCTCCGACTCCAGCTCCAGCTCGTCAACCGTCTCCGTCTACCACTTTCATTTCGTTTTCACTGCGCATTAAAGACGCTCGAGCAGCTTTAATTGCCCAAGAAAATGGCAGAAGCAAACGAAACATAAAACACCGGCTGCAAATAAGAGACAGAAAAAATGTAACAACAACTAACATGCGTTAGGTTTTTTGTAAAGAAAGCCCAAGAAGTTTGTGGGCCAGGAAATTGCGTGCAGCCAGGCGACAGACTGTTCGACATTGATACGAACTGTTATATAGTATTCTGTTATACAGTGTTTTGACAATTGGTAAAAGAATGAAAAGTTCATTTTGAAATGAGCATTCAACCAGTATTGTAAAGCTTTCAAAGATGCTATTTTAAAATTTTGCAATGCCACAGAAAATATTCAATTAAATATATATTTTATTTTGCATAAATTGTTAAGTGAATATTTGTCCATCGAAATGATTCACACATATGTATGTATTTATTGATTCAGCTGAATTGTGAAAGAACAGCCAAAGAAAACCGCAAAATGATATTCATAAGTGAGTGAGTGATAAAGGCAAATGCAGCTTGCCCACTGCCTGTGCCAGTGCCGGAGTAGGTCTTTTCTGTTGTTTCCTTTCTTTTATTGTTATTAAGCTATTGTTGTTGTTGTTGTGGTTTTCTCTCTTTCATTTTTTCTTACCATACTGCTCACAATCTTTTCTTTTGTCTACGCTTTGTGTCTTTCTTTCGATTTTAATTACTCAAAAATGCCAATTAATTGTTGCTTTTATTTCAAACCTCGGAGGCACAGTCAGTCTCATTTGGAATTGTGTTCTGCATTTCAACAGTTTCGTCTCGATTTGAAGGTGTTGTGCGGATTGTGCGTGGCCTGGTGAAAAGATGGCAACAATTGGAGCGGATCGAGAGGAGCATTTAAAGTACAGTGACTGCTCTATTAACGAACCAAATCCAACTTGTATTTACTTTGAATGAAAGCCAATCTAACCTATATCTTAGCCAGATCTTCATGGCAGTTTTCACTGTTTAACTAATCTGATTCTGCCTCATTGTTATTTTCCAGGCAAGCGCGTGTTCCACGCCAACGCAAAGACTTCAACCTGGCCGGAAGCGGAAGTGTCAAATCCAACGGCAACAACAACAATAACAGCAACCACAACAACCTTTATAAGACTGAGCAACGGCCGTCCAAAAAGGCAGCACAAAAAATGGCATCTACTGGCGAAATTTGGCTGCAATGGTTCTCATGCTGTTTCCAACAGCAGCGCTCCCCCTCTCGCCGACCTCATCAGCGCCTGCGAATCGATCGCTCAATGATCGGGAATCCTACGAATTTCGTGCACACCGGACACATTGGATCCGCCGATGTGGAGCTGTCCGCCAATCGGCTGAACGCGATCTCAACTCAAATGCAGAGCAAGGGCGGCTATGAGACAAACTCGATACATTCGCTGCACGTAAGTCGTTGCTACAGTGAATCACGGGAAGGGGGTTGGCGGAGTGCTGCACAAGCAGAGATCTACTTGGATGGATTGAGTCATCCATTTGGGTTTCTGCTATTTGTTGGGTACATTTAATGTGCGAATCACGCTGATTGCAATTCGAAACGTAAACACTTAGCACCGACGTAAGGTGACAACCATTGGTTGGTGGTTACGGTGGTTTCGTTTTCGTTGTTGTTGTTACATTTACAGTTGTTGTTGTCCGTTCAAGGTGTAGCCAAATGACAGCAGAGTCTTCAACTTAATTCAGGCTTAGCTTAAATATATTTAATTCAGTTCAACAAAATCAATTATAACTGTGAAGGGAAAAGCTCTGATTATAATTTATAAAAATAATTTATGTTACCAATCTTTAAGGAAAACTTCTAGTCTTAGTCATTAAATTTAAGCTGCATCTGATTTATAATAACTTTCCATCAAAATTAAGTTTAAGGCTAAAGCAAAGACGCCAAGTTGCCAACTTTTTTTTTGGCCCGATAAGCAGCGGGTTGAGTTGTTAAACTTGATAAACAATTGGATTGCCTCGTCCCATAAGACGGACACACAAAACTCAAGAGGTCGATGCTCTCTACCCCAGAGACAAACATCAGGTGTTATTATGTATATGTGTGTTTGTGTGCTTAAGATCCACACCCAAGTTTAGTCGAAATGTTCAATTAAGTTTCGTGGCATTAGTATTAGTCGCATTTGTCTACATACGTTCATGCCATGCAACCATTTGGTGATAAGATCTCCGCCTGCTGCACTGACAAGCCAGTCCAGGTTCGTTCGTGTCGTAGCGCTCTTTTATTTCAAGTATTAAACAATACCAAGTGCCCGGCCCCAGTTCTAGCTGTGGCCACGCTCTAGTACATCACTTAAACTACAGACAACAACAACAACAACAATAAATGATTAAATGTACAGTAAAAGCTCTCGGTGGTGAACAACGTGAACTTAATTTTTCACTAGACTGATTAAGGACTCTGTTTGCTCAGCTCACAAGCTATTTATTTGCCAAACATGTTCGTTATATTGAGCCCTCACTGTATGTGCATATATTATCATTCTTTATTTATTTCTTTCGCCTTACAGGCCTGCTGATGGAAAACCCCCACAACCAACGGCTATTAAAAGCATTTTGTGCAATTTTCTTCAAAACAACAAGCGAAGTCGAAGAAGAAGAAAAATATAATAACTATAAAAGAAACACAGCAATCTTGTATTTAAATAATTGTTTGTTAAACGCGAGTCTGTTATCAGGCAGCGATGGTGACTAATCGAAGGAGGAGATGGAGGAGCCAACTGCGTGGTTGCTGACGACGGAAATAGGTTCCACACACCAAGAACAACAACAAGAAGACGAATGAGAAGCATGTGGAATATGAGAACTGACAATGGACTCCATAATGTACCAGCTACTATTTACATAAAGATCAGGCGAATTAGCTATAAGTCGGTACTCTAAACCGAGAACTGTGTAGACATAAGAACTGTGTATGCCCTTTTTGTGAGTATTATATTGATGAAAAATCACAAAAAATGTAAATTTATAGTCTAAAAACAGTTCAGAGTGAATCCAAGGTTGGTTTTTTTTCGGTAATACATATTGTACTTAATGCCAAAACCAGATCAGTTAAGATCATTGTGCAGTTTTTTTTCCTATAGAGCATGCGACATGCAAACAAAATATGAATAAATGTAACATCATTTTCCATTGTAAAACCCAGAGAACACAACTGCCTTATTTCGAATTGCGTAATGCCACACTGATCGAGATGGTAGATATATATATATATATATATATGTATATGATGTATATGTATAATTAATAGCTATCTGTAGTATATATCAACTGTTGTGCTCGTTGACTAAGCAAAAAGCAATTTTACAGAGCTGATTTAGCATTTATATAATGTTCAAAACTTTAAATAAAAAGTAATATAATAATATTAAATTGTCGCACAATCAATTTTCCAAAAAGCAGAAAATAAACAAAAACAAAATGTATAATTTATGATATTTATAAAACTCGAATATTTGTTTACAAATCAGAATGAAAGATATTGTAACTACTTTTTTAGAGTTATATTTACATATATACAAGAATATTTATAAAACCGATTCAACCAATGCAGAATATAGTATAGAACGTGTACCTATATAGAGAGAGATCCCCTTTAAACATTCATTACAAATCCACTGCAGTTGTAGATATATAGTATATAACTAAGTAAACAAAAAAAAAAAAAAAAAAAAAGTATGTAACAAATATAAAATTATGTATTTTGGGTTGAAAACGTCGCCTGTTGAACGCGACATAGACTAATTGTGTAAAAAAAAAAACAAAGGATATTTAAACAATAATTTATGGAAAAATATATATAGAAAAGAAAACAAACATTGCATTATGATTAATAATAATAATCGGGTTATCGAATATTCACTTATTTTACGCGAACTCTTTTTTTCGTGTTGGCAAGTGTAAAATATCCAGGAGTAATGTTAATAACACAGAGAAGCCCGATGGGATGGAGAGTATAAGACATTAGGGATTAAAATATATAATATAAATTCTGTTGAGCAAGTCTATAGAGCATTATATGACTGGATAATATCATCTGTGAACTAATAGTAAAAGTGACGACATAACTTTCATATCAATCAGATTTGGATACTTTCTTAATAATCGACAAAGAAAGACAGTTTTTGGACAATTTTGTTTTATTTTTGAAACAGATATTTAACCTAGTGTTCAGGATTCCATATTGCTTATACGTATTATGGAACATTAAATTTCTCATTCTTTCATTCAAAAACTATTCATTGTCGCTACCGCTTCCACTGCCACTGCCACTGCCGGAACCGGAGCCGCTGCCACTGCCGCTGCCTGACTTACGGCTTTCGTTGTCGCTGCCACTGCCACTGCCGCTGCCGCTGCGACTGTTGGCGCCTGCAGCGCGGTCGTTGCTTTTGCCACTGCCGGCGTCAGATTCGCTGTCGGAGTCGCGCAGTGCTTTGCTGGCCTTTGCCTTGTTTACCTTCTTGCTGCGTTGCGCCTCAAAGTCCGAGCCCTCGTCCTCGTCTGAGGAGTAAATGGTTGAGGCCTTTGGCTCCGCCTGGCCGCCGCTGCCGCCCTTTTTGTAACGATTTTTGATGGCGCTTAGACTGATTGCATTCTCATCGTCGCTGCCGTCGTCGTGGTGATATGACGAGTTACCGCCGCCACCGATGAGTGGTTCGCCGGCCCCGGCCTTTTTCTTCTTGGGCTGCGCCTTGTGTTGGGTGCGCATGGCTAAGCGCAGTTTGGCCTCCTCTTCCTTCAGTTGGGAGTAGCGATCTGTGGTGGGATCTTTGCCCACCTGCGTGAGTATCTTAATGCCGCTCGTCTTGGTCGATCGATCCGCCAGCGACATGGTGATCTTCTTGTGTGTGAACGACTCAGTTGAATGCGGCCGGAAGGTTAGTTTGGTCCGGAACACAGACTGACCCTGCAGACCTGTGCCCTGACGGATGAATAAATGATTGTGATCGCCCACCAGTGGCTGACGATACGCATCGAAGATCTCGTTGCCCAGATGCAGGCTCATGCTGCCATCGGACCAGCGCACGAAACGCGCATTTGATTCACGCACCATTTCGCCCTTGTTATTCATATACTCACGCCAACGGATGGTGTTGCTGACCTTGAGCTTGATGCGCTGCCGGCCCTCCTCGTCCATGGTCTCCTCTTCGTCGATTTCGTCCTCGTATGTCTCCGGATCGAAGGGATGTGTGACCACAGACAAGAAATTGGGCAACTTAATGAAATGTTGTTCTTTGCCCAGATCGGCAGATATGCGGGGTATCTCTACATCAATGCGCGTCTCTGGCAACGGTTCTGGCTCATCCTCCTTGGGCACGGCTTGACGCGGCTCTGCGTCGCGAGAGCGCGAGCGAGAACGACTACGTGATCGGCTTACTGAGCCACTGCGTGAACGCGATTTACTCTTACTACGGCTGCGCGATCGAGCCAAGCTGCCTGCTGGGGATTTGCGCACGGCGGCCGCTGTGTCCTCGTCGTCACTGATGTCGTCCGCATCACCAAAAATATCAGATGCGGCAGGTGCTGTTTTTGGCTGCAAATAGTCAAAGCATAAATGAATACGATCACTTCAGACAGAGAACCCTTATTGACCTACCGGCTCGTCCTCATCGCTATCAGAGTCAATCAGCCGAGCCTTCTTTGCTTTTGAGGGCGATGTGTTGTCACCATCAGGTTTTTCGTTATCAGAATTGCTTTGACGACGCGGCTTCTTCTTGGGCACGCCAATATCACTACCCGATCCAGAAGCGGAGCCACTTCGGCTACGTGAGGTGCGACCCGAATGAGGTGTGCCCGACTTGGAGCGGGAGTGTGAACGAGAATGAGATCTAGATTTAGATCGTGAAGTACGACTGCCGCTGCGACTGCGACTTTTGCTCTTTGAATTGGCACGTTGATCATCGATTTGCAGATTGGGGGAGTTAGAACGGGAGTCCTCGTTGCCACTGCGCTTGCTATGGGGGGTGCCACTGTGCTTGCTATGGGGTGTGCCGCTGCGGGAACGTGAATGGGAACGAGAATGAGAACGCTTGCTATCAGGTGAGCCGGAGTGCTGGCTGCGTGGAGATGCAGAGCGTGGACTGTGAGCCGAGCCCGAGCGCGACCGTCGACTGGCTGCGGAGCCGGAGCGTGGACTATGCGGCGAGCCTGAGCCAGAGCGTGAACGCGAGGTTCTCGATCCAGAGCGTGAACGATCACTGCCACTGCCCGACTTGTGGCTGCGAGGCGAACTAAAAGGGTAATATGCCATTAATAATATAATTTTAACAGGTAGTAAAAACATACCCTGGTGCACTGCGTTGCGGTGTGACGCTACGGCTACGGCTTCCACTTCGACTGGAACCGGATCCAGAACCTTTAAGAGCCTTTTAAGTACAGCTGGTATAGCTAAATATTTAATAGTGTACTTACCGCTTTCATCATCTGAATTCGGGTCGCCCATGTTATAATCTTATTTCAAGTGAATAAATTGACACTGCCACAAATGCGAATAACAAAATATGCGGCTCAGGCACGTGCAGACAAAGTTTTCGTTCAATCAATTCATATGCTTCGTTAAAAAAGCCGGATATAACTAATCAAACAGATGCGCCTTTTCACTAGCAAATTTATTATTTTGTCTTTATAAGCAAGCTATCATATTATATTTAAATACCATATTTATGAACAGCTCGCCGTGTATAGCAGGCCTAAATCGTTATGTGCAACCCTGCTGTTGCTACTATGAACGCCACTATCGATAACAATGCTGCACCGATACCCATCATCTATCTCCGTCTTTTGTGTATTTGTATTCGTATGTGACGAGCCACAAAAGTTTTTTGCGGAACGTATTTTGTGTACATTTTAAGCGTTTTTCGAGCGCTCAAAAGTCGTTTATATTATTGTATATACAATAAATAGGCATTTGTCTATTTTGAATAAGCGTGCGTTAATTTCTGCGTGGCGTAAAAGGTGCGCAAATCGCGAAGCGAATTTACCCCAAATTCGCGTTCGGGTGAAATTTCAATGAACTGAGAAAACAAAGACAGAGACAAACACACACACACACATTCTGTGGAAGCAGTGAAGGAAGAAGAAGCAGTGGCAACAGCGCAATAGCAAGCAATTATTTACTTACAAATAAAACCAACATAATATATATAAACCAAGGCAAACTAACAGAAAAAAGGCCGAACTAAGCAAAACGACATTGGAAGGAAAAACTTATTAATGGACGTTTCGCAACGGACGACACTGCAGCAGTTAAAAATTCTGTAGTCGCCGCTTTGCGCTGTTAGGCAAGGGGGGAAAAGCGTATAAAAAAACCTTCGGTACTCCTGCTCTCGGGTAGGCACGACGAAGTAAAGTACACCAACACACAGTTACCAATACACAGCGTGAGTGTACGTGCGTACATATATATTTACATATACATATTTATATGTGCAATATATTTAGGGACGATACGGCGCGGAAAAATACCAACTAACCTCTCTCCTCACGTTGCGGTTACACTTTGCGCATCATCTTCATCCTCGTGTGGGTGACCGTGTGTATGAGAGTGTATATCCTGCTAGCCCGTGTGACGTTGTGTATGTGCGACGAGTGCCATTTATAGGTAACAGTAAAAGAAACTGAATCGAGTGATCAGAGCTGAGCATATATTCAAGTTCACAAATTGTAAGCGTCAGTTGGTGCAGCATCTGACGAAACGACGACGCAAGCGTCAGCAACAAGAACAACAACGTCCCAGTCGCTTTGGAATGTTAAATGCGGTGAGAACAAACCATTCAGTGTATGTTGTTGTTGGTAACAGCAGTAGTCGGAAAACATTAGCAGTAACAGTGGCAGAAGAGGAAGAAGCAGCAGCATTATCATCCATCGTTCATTTAGGTAAGTGTACTGTAAAATCCAACAACGTTCAGCATTCGCAGTCAAACACAGGTCATAGGTTTATTTGTTGCTTAAGTTTGCTGTTCAAGGCTAGCCCTAAACGCTAATTGGCCATAGTCGAAATCGCTGTGTTTTGTTGTAAGCGAAATCAGTGTTGCAAATCGTAAATTGGTCAGCTGATGAAGTTACACATATATATGTATAGTGATTGAGCGAATAAATAAACGATCAGCATCTCCCGACGCTGTAAAGTAATCGACAAATCAAAATCTGGCAAGTTGGCGCAAGCAAATCGAGAAGCATCTAAGAGAGCACGAAAAGGTGCTCGAAAAGCAAAAGGAAGAAGAAAATAAATAATGAGCTGGGTACAGACAAGTGCAGGCAGAGCTAATTGCAGATCAGCGACACAAGTAGCATCTTTTGTTGTATGCACATATACATACACATACAGTCATGAACACGATCTCACCAACACACACACACATGTTGATCCTCTGTGTCAAGTTCTTTTCGTCCTTTTTCATTTACCTTTTGTGCGTTCTTTTGTGTGCCATTTTGAGTAGAGCCCACAGATAGAGTATCCTACGTCTTGTCTGAGTGATATTTATACCGATTTGTGTGTGTTTATTTTATGTACTGTCTGTGTCCATTCATTTTGTGGATCTTTTTACAGCTGTTGATATTCGTGCAGCCATTTAATCTAAATTAGTGTTGCAAAGTGAACGACACTCTGTTTACCTATTCTGTATTCGATTTCACTATTATCGTCTCCATTTTTGTATATATTACAACTTGATTAC